TCATGGAATCAATAACCGTGTTGTCAGCAGAGGAGTGGCAGTGACAGGGTTTGTGTTAATTGTACATTGATGACATGTACTACACGAAGCCATCTTTGCCTCGTAAGTTATCCGCCATTTTGTAGTCTTTGTTTCAGGCATCATCTTTCTGGATGCTCTGGATTCTCTGTTTAAAATCATCCAAATGTGCACCAAGTATATCTATTTTCCTCTGCTGGTCGTTGCTCTGCCATGGCCCTTGCTCTTATTATTTCTTGCTGTCAGTTTCCCCTCACAATATCCATGGGAAATTTAGATAAACCTCCTTTACTTCACGTCCTTTCCTGTTCCTCCTCCTCCTCCCGCCTCAGCACTTCCCTCCCCTCGCCGCTCCCTTCAGCGCGTCGTCAGCACCAAGGGAAATATTGTGTTCCCCGTAACATAATATAGCGACGACCGTGTTAAGGGTTGTGATAACCAAATGTTGCGTTAGTAATGTGTCATAATCACCCATCTGGCTCCCCTCCCTCCGCCCCAAAAATAGCCTCTCACCTGCTCCCTTTTTTGCGTTCCCCTGGCTACTCTCCTCGCCTGCTTCCCTTCCCCTCGCACGAAAGCAGAAATCTCAACGTATTTCTTACAGCCTCATGCTCCTCGCACCTTTAACGCCCTTTGATCCTTCACCCTTCAGCCCGCTTCCCAAAACAAGGACCTCATCCTTCCCGCTCGGCCGCGTCTCCCTCAGAAGGACTCCCTCCGGGCGCGCCTCCTCCGCCTCCTCCGTCAGAGCCCCGCCGGCGCGAGTCCCTCGACAGCCGTCTAAACAATAGCCTTGTCTCGCTTCTAAAGGCAAATCAAATTATAGTGTTTGTTGTGGTTATAATAAGTGGGCGGGGCGTCGGTAATTGATTGTATTGTGGCCACTTGTTACTCCATTACCAAGCTGGCACACGGCGAGGTGAGGCCTTCATTACTCACCTCGTTATAACTTAATTATCACATGCGCGGCCGGGGAGGGTCCCTGTGTGTTCGTGTAGGTGTGTGTGGTTGTGTGTGTGTGTGTGTGTGTGTGTGTGTGTGTGTGTGTGTGTGTGTGTGTGTGTGTGTGTGTGTGTGTGTGTGTGTGTGTGTGTGTGTGTGTGTGTCCATATTCGTGTTGTGCATCTCTTTAGGACTGTGCGTTCAAAATGGCTAAGAGAGAATTAGATACAATTTTGAATTGAGAAACATTTTCCCTTTATATATTTAACGCAAATGCTTCTACCGACTGTGAAAATTTCTTTTATGTAACTGCCTGCCATCAAAGTAGAAGTTTCAATGAGGGCGTTAAAAGAAATCCAGAATGTAGAAAATATATTATACCCTTGGCCAAAATGAGGTAACTTCTAGTCACTGGGCGCGGGGAAAGGCACTTGTTCCCACTTGGTTGCGTCGTTCTCGCCAATTGTAACGCCATTTCAAGGGTTAATGGCGGGAAAACGCGAGTGGCCGGCTGTCCGTTTGCCTGACTCGGGCTTTTACACTTTATTCTTTTCTTCTCTTGCTTGTTTATTTTGTACTTCTTTATCTGAAGGAAACATAACGTAATTTTTTAGCACATCAACTCTTTAAATAGCCGACGAAGATTGTAATGCAAAAAAGATAAATAGTAGCCAAGGACGAAGCGGAAACCATGGCTTTCGGACACAGTGTGCGAACTCGTCGGGTGTTCGTGCGTCGGAGCTCCACCAAATGAATTTAAATGTCATCCATCTGAGGGGGAGCTTCGTTTCTGCTACATAATTGATAACAGTTGTTGGTAACGTGTGAGGTAATTATCTGCGCCCAGAAGAACGTATTTCTTCCTAGATTATTCTATGCCTAATCCTTTCTTTTCTTTTCTGCCCCAGTTTCCCTCTACGAAGATTTCCGCCTGTCGATCTCTTGTGGATTTGTGGCCGATTCTTTTGTCCGCCTTGTTTCAGACGCTCATTTATTTTTTCCTTCCTTCTCTTTTACACTCCCTGTTTTACGCTCTCTCTCTCTCTCTCTCTCTCTCTCTCTCTCTCTCTCTCTCTCTCTCTCTCTCTCTCTCTCTCTCTCTCTCTCTCTCTCTCTCTTTCTCGCTTTCTCTCTCTTTCTATCTCTATCTCTTTATCTCTCTATCTCTCTTTATATATCTAATTATCTCATTATCTCATTATCTGTCTCTCTGACTTTCTCCTCTATATCTGCCTATCTATCTATCTCCACCTCTTTATATATCTATCTTTATCTCTATTTATATCTCCATATATATATATATTATATATATATATATATATATAATATACATATACATATATATAAATATACATATACACGTGTGTATATATATATATATATATATATATTATATATATATATATATATATATGTGTGTGTGTGTGTGTGTGTGTGTGTGTGTGTGTGTGTGTGTGTGTGTGTGTGTGTGTGTGTGTGTGTGTGTGTGTGTGTGTGTGTGTGTGTGTGTGTGTGTACACACACACACACACACCACACACACACACACACACACACACACACACACACATATATATATATATATATATATTATATATATATATATATATATATATATATATATATATATATATATATATATATATATATATATATATATATATATATATAATATATATATATATATATATATATATATAATATATATATATATATATATATATATATATATTTATATTATATATATATATATCTGTCTATCTCTATCTCTCTCTCTCATCCTCTCTCTCTCTATTTTCTCCTTGTCTTCCTCTTTCCCTCTCTCTCCCTTTCCCTTGTCCCTCCCTTCCTATCTCTCTCTCGCTCCCTCCCCTCCTTCCTTTATCTTACTTCTCTCCACCCCCTTCCTCTTCCCCTCCCCCTCCTCTACTCCTCCCTCGCCCTTTCCCTTCCTCCCTGACCCCCCCTCCCTCCCACCCCGCCCCCGAATACTCCCTCAAGCGCGGCCTCACCTGCACTCTGACCTCCGGGAGGTTGACCTTGAGGGCGAGCTCCTCCCTGGAGTACACGTCGGGGTAGTGGCTCTTCTCGAAGGCGCGCTCGAGTTCGTGCAGCTGGTACGTGGTGAATGTGGTGCGGTTGCGACGGTGCTTCTTCTTGGCGTCGCTTGCGGCGTCCTGCGACCCCGAGGTGGAGTCGCTCATGCCGCCCTCGCCGCCGCCGCCGCAGCCTCCGGCCCGTCCGCCCTCGTCTGCGGGACACGGGAAGGAGCGTCACTCGAAGGACAGAAGGGTTAGTGGGCGTCGCCGAGGACGCCGCCTGAAGCAGCAACAGCGCTTTGGCCTTTCTTATCATGGCCGCTGCCTCTGTTGGTCGGGGCTTTAGGATTGCCACTGTTAGGAATATATGAAAAGTAATTACTCTTGTCGGTCATATTCTCATTACCATTATCAATTAATATTACTATAACTATCATTGTTATCATCATCATTTTCATTCTTGTCATCATTGTTATTGTCAATATTATTATCATTATTATTATCATCATTATTGATATTAATATTATCGTTATTATTATGATGATGATTTTATTTAGTGTTATTATCATTAATATAATTATTATCATGAATACTATTATCATTATCATTATTGTTATTGCTATTGTCATTATCACTAGCATTATTCTTTATATTGACATTATTGTTTTTATTATTATTGTCATTATTATTTTCATCATTATCATCATTGTTATTATTATCATCATTATTATTATTATTGTAATTTTTGCCATCACAATTATTATCACCATCATGATTATCAATAATCATTATTATCAGTATTATTGGTATTGTTCTTTTTGTTATCATTATTGGTTTTTACTTAATCATTACTTATTATTATTATTATTATTATTATTGTAATCATTGTTATTATTATTGCCTTAACCATATCATTATCACTGTTAATATTGAAAAAATAAAAGATCATTATTAATATTATTATTATTATTGTTATTATTTCATTGGTATTACTATTATTATCAATATAATTAATATCACTATTATCATCATTATCATTAGTATTGTCATTATAATTACCATAATATTAGTGTTATTATTATTATCATCCTTATCATTTCTATTGTTATTATTATCATTATAATTATTGTTATTATTATTATTATTATCATTATCATTATTATCATTATTATCATTATCATTATAATTATTATTATTTTATTCTCATTATCATTATTATTATCATTATTATCATCATCATCATCATTATTGTTATTATTATCATAATCACTGTTATTTCTATGATTATTACTATGATTATTAATCTATCATCAAGATATTGGCGCTATTGTTATTATTGTTATAACAATTAGGATAATGATTATATGATAATGATAACAATAACAATAGTAATGATGTTAACAATATCATTAACAAGAATCAAAAAAAGAATGATGTGAGTAATTATGGTCATTATGATAATGACAATGACAATAATAATGAAATGATGATAAGAAGTACAGTGATAATGATAATAGTAATAATGATGATAAAAATAACATTAGTAATTATAATAATGATTTTAAGGATATTTGCTACAACGATGACCATGACAGTACTAATAATCAGATAATAATCATATTAATGATGATGACGATGTTGATAAAGATAAGATAAAGATTGCGATGTTAATGATATCAATTATGATAATGATTATCAGGCCAGCCATGACTATAATAAATAACGCGGACAATAATAGAATCATAATAGTAATAGAAATTATGATGATATCTATGATAACTGTCATGATAATGAAGCTAATATCAGGTATGATAATGATGATAATACTAGCACCGATAATAATGAAAATGATAACAGTTACTATTATTTTTTCCTGGTAATAACACTGACGAAAATAACAATGATATAGGAACAAGAGTGATAATAATGAAAAGTCTGGTACTAATAACAATAATAATCATATGAAAAACAGTATCAACAATAACAGTGATGATAACTAATGATAACAATGATAGTAATAATGATGATGCTAATGATAATAATAATAATAAAAACAATAATGATAATAATTATTATTGTAGTTGATGTTTTTTCTATTATTGCTATTATTCTTCCGTATTGTTGTTATTGTCATTATTATTATTGTTGTTGTTTTTATTTTTATTGTCATTATTATTATTACTATCATTATCATTATTATCACTATTATTATCATCATTTTTTTTATCATTATTAGTATTATTAGTAGTAGTAGTATAATGATTATGGTTATTATCTTATTTAATTATTATTATTATCATTTCTAATATTATTATTATTATTATCATTTCTAATATTATTATTATTATTATCATTATCATTATTATTATTTTGCTTATCATTATCATTGTCATTATCATTATCACTATCATAATTATAATAATCATTATCCCTATTATCATCTTTATCACTATAATCATCATTATCATTATTATCTTTATTTTTAATATGGCGATATTGTCGAGAATGATGGCAATGACAATGACCAAGATAGTGATAGTCATGATGATAAAGACAATGATAATCAGGATAATAAGCCTGTTCTTCCCGACCATCAGAGTTCCCTCGTGACACTCGTCTCCGTGCGCCGACTCGCTGCTGGAGGCCACTGACCCTCCTCTGGCCGCCTGCGGGCTCTGAACTCGGCCTATGACGCAAAGAGGGAAGGCTTAATCCTTGGGGGACAGATACCGATCGACTCCCGGCCGAGGCTCGGCAACGGCGCCTCGTATCACGGTGGCTTCGCGGGTTCCTTGTCACCTTTGTGCGATGAGGCGATTGAGCTTGGATCTGTCGCGCCGTCACACTGCCTCCGTCACACCCGTTAGTCTGCGTCCGCTATTCCCCGAGACTCTAAGTGACTTTTTGAAAGAGAAGTAGCACTCGGAGAACGTGATAGTTGATTATTATTATTGCCGCGTTAAAGCAATGAGTGATATGCATCGTCAAAACTGCCGCCTCATCCAATTCGTTCCAAGAGAAAAAATATACCTTTCTGGACAACGCTGATATTCCCGCGACATTAGCCCGCCGCCAGAAGAGTCCCTCGGTCGATGTGATTTTGATAAAAGTGCCTTCTGTAAGTCCCTGAATCAGAGAAAGATAGCATCTCGACGAACTGGCGGTCCGCTTCTTCCCAGGCCGGCGAGTGGCACCATCCGATGAGTTGCTGAGGCGAAGAGCACGCCGCTTCACTCACATCAGTCGGGCGAATTAGGATTACATTTAATTAGAACGAAATCCGCGTAGATTAATGAACATGAAGGTACTACACATCGTTCAACCTGATAACATCAGCCCCCACTTAGGCCCCAGCGTGTGCCACTTATCGCTGGGATGGGATGTCCTTCAGAACTGAACTCTTTGGTGGCTGCTGGACGAAGTGGAGAAAGTGGGACCAGGAATCTTTCTTCCAGACCAAAGGGATGTTTGTTTGGAGGAGGAGGGTGATAATAACAATGATGCTTTTATTCAGTAAAGATATATAAAAGATATACCAATCATTATTTTCGTATTGCTGCTTTCGCGGAGTGAAAAGAAAAGAAAATTCTCATTTTTCAAAGATAGCTGTGTCACCTTTTTTATATATGCGTTTATATTTTCATCTGCATCTAGTGAACACTTTTTCTTTCGTCTATATGCATTTTATCCATCAATATCGAGTGCACTCTCTTTTTAATCTCCCTCCCTCTCTCCAACTTATGGTTTCTGTCTGTCGGTCTCTCTCTTTCTCTTTCTCTCTCTCTCTCTCTCTCTCTCTCTCTCTCTCTCTCTCTCTCTCTCTCTCTCTCTCTCTCTCTCTCTCTCTCTCTCTCTCCCCTCCCTCCCTCCCTCCCTCCCTCCCTCCCTCCCTCCCTCCCTCCCTCTCTCTCTCTCTCTCTCGCTCGCTCGCTTGCTCGCGCGCTTGATCTTTCTCTCCCTTTTCCCTTTTTTCTAATTTTATTTTCTTGCGTATTTTCTTTTCATTCCATTTTCCTAGGAAGAAGTGAGAAAGAAAACGAGAAATATACAAACGACAGAAGAAGTCGCTTCTTCGGCCAACGTTGTTCAATTTGTCTTCTCTTCGGTCTGCGCGATCCCTGAAACGATATCACGGCTTGCTTCCTACTAGAACATTCGGCCGGGATAAACGCTGCCTGTGCCCCTCTCCCTGTCTATCCATCGGTTAATCTACCCAAGTGTGTCATACTCTGTCGGTACGTTTATCTATCTACCTATCTACCTGCTTGTCTTTCTCTTCCTCTTTCTCTGTTCCATTATTACAAAGATCTTCTTTCTGAAGCTAGAGACACGGAGTGTGTGTGTCTGTGTGTTTGTCAGTTGATTATTGGACCGAGAGGCTTTGCAGTGTGGTGATCCAGTTTGCGAATTATATATCCTATACATTCATACCTGCACCGAAAATTAGTATGTGTCGGAACTTCGATTCAATAAAAGAGAGCATTCTTTTTTATTGTGAATCTAACTAGAATCGAACCCACTCATCTGTAACAAAATAAATTTTACAGTTACCCTGAATTTCGTCTTCCCCGTCGCACTGTGCCAACACAGTGGTGTTTTCACAATGCCGTATACGATATGTATACACACACACACCACACACACACACACACACACATATATATATATATATATATATATATATATATATATATATATATATATATATATATATATATATATATATATATATATATATATATATATATATATATATATATATATATATATATGTGTGTGTGTGTGTGTGTGTGTGTGTGTGTGTGTGTGTGTGTGTGTGTGTGTGTGTGTGTGTGTGTGTGTTTGTGTGTGTTGTGTGTGTGTGTGTGTGTGTGTGTGTGTGTGTGTGTGTGTGTGTGTGTGGTGTGTGTGTGTGTGTGTGTGTGTGTGTGTGTGTGTGTGTGTGTGTATGTGTATGTGTGGTGTGTGTGTGTGTGTGTGTGTGTGTGTGGTGTGTGTGTGTGGTGGTGTGTATGTATATATATATATATATATATATATATATATATATATATAACACACACACACACACACACACACACATATATATATATATATATATATAATATATATATATATATATATATATATATATATATATATATATATATATATATATATATATA